GTTGCAGAAGTCTGATAGTATGTCATTGAACAAGCAGACTGCTTCCTCGAATTTTGCCCGGTGCTGGTCAGAGCAGTTCAGGCATCCTAATATGTCGTCGAAAGGCAACAAACTTTCGAAGCGAAGTGAAAACCTTGGGCAGCGTTTTAGCTTGCCGCACGAAATGAAGTTGGGTATGAAAACGAAGAGTCACTCGATGACGGCGCAGACCACTGTTAGGTCCGTGGCTTCAGCCATGGTCGCCGGTGAACCGCCTCTCTCGTCAGCTTGGCGGCAAAAGACGTATGAGGAAAACTCCAGTAGGTATCGAGCAGGTAGCTTGGATTCGAGTCAGGTAAATATTCTAAATGCACGGTTTTCGATGAACACTACGTTAGGTTGTCGTTTATTGTCAGCTTCTCTTGGGCATTTCCCGGCATTGAACAAATTATGACTTCTTGTAGTTTGGCATCGTGTTTATTTAATGTTGAAACGCATTCGCGTGTCATCGGGATTTGCGGTACTTTGTTACAGCCGTTCTAGTTAATAATTAATTTTGCAGCTAACTCATAGTCTGTGTCTGGCAGCCAACAGACGCCCTTTACCGTATTTGACCTTGTCCATTACAATAAATGAGCCGATTTGTATGTCGACTGGCTTTCTTTTCGACAGGTTTAGAATGATGTCTCTGCACTTTTCGGTGTCACTGTTCTTTCGAGTAGCCCAGAGTTTTTGTACTATGGCCAAAGAACGACCATGGTTTAACAGACGTCAGTGACTTACGGCCTTTTGTCATTTGCTACTATTATTTTGAAATCGATCGATCTTCTAATCTGCCCTTGTCAGAAAAGTATGCCATTGCCGCTAGATATTTCTGATTTCTCTTCTGCTTGCTAGATTCCTGATATGTGTAAAGGAAAGATTCAGTTACATCGGATCTCATTACCGATAACTTATATTAATCATTTTGCCCAGTATTTAACGAGTGAATATATCGGTGAAAATCTTTTTCAGTACTTCGGTTCTGCATCTTTTAGGATATCATCACCTTCGTTTCTGAATGAGCTATCTCTAGTTATGTTTTACGTAATCATACTTCGCTGGCTTCTCGGCTGCTTTGCCATCAGGAACTAACATTTCCTCATCGGAACTGACAGATTTAGCGGAACAACAGCGCTATGCTGTAAGATGCTGTGTTGTCTTTTCCTCTCTTTATTTACCACACGAATATTCCTACTCCCAGCGCCGAGTCACGCTTTCTGTGCGTCGTTTGATGACGCAAATCTCAGTGCAGCTGTCATGGCCATTTTGTTGTGTCCGTACAATTGGCGATTCGATGAACGCTAACGTTTCTCCATCGAAGGTTTGAATAATCTCGTCTGCATATCATCATTGCCGTTGTGACAGCGTATCGAAAGGTTCACTTTTAATAATGTTCAATTTTTAGGGCAGTGACAGATGCTTGCTTTTCTCTCCTGTCCTGTCGTACATTGCATCCGACAGCACCTATGGTGATTTGTCTGAGTCATCGCGTTTTCTGATCAGCAACCGCGCTCATTTGCCGAAGGGCATCGAAAACGTGCGTCCTCACATTGCCAACGTGGACAACGTTCCTCTTCTGGTATCGTTGTTCACCGATTGCAGCAGCGACACTAGTCAGGAAATGATCCATATCATGCAGGACTACGGCGAGGTGGTCTGTGTTATTGGCAGTTCCCTTAATTGCGGCAACGTAGGCGTTTTCTGTCAAGCGAACATGAGCATCAGCGTAGAGCCGTTGCATCCGTGCGGTTGCGTGGACGAGCCGCTGAACGAAATTCTCGATT